AGCGATGGTCGGGGTTTATGTGTGTGTGTGTGTGTGTGTGTGTGTGTGTGTGTGTGTGTGTGTGTGTGTGTGTGTGTGTGTGTGTGTGTGTGTGTGTGTGTGTGTGTGTGTGTGTGTGTGTGTGTGTGTGTGTGTGTGTGTGTGTGTGTGTGTGTGTGTGTGTGTGTGTGTTTATTGTGTATGTGTGTGTGTGTGTACTCACCTATTTTTACTCACTTACTTGTGGTTACAGGGGTCGAGACATAACCCCTGGCCCCGCCTCTTCACTGGTCGCTACTAGGTCATCTCTCTCCCTGCTCCATGAACTTTATCATACCTCGTCTTAAAACTGTGTATGGTTCCTGCCTCCGCTGCATTACTTTCCAGACTATTCCACTTCCTGACAACTCTATGACTAGAGGAATACTTCTTAACATCTCTTTGGCTCATCTGAATCTTCAACTTCCAATCGTGACCTCTTGTTTCTGTGCCCTATCTCTGGAACATCCTGGCTCTGTCCACCTTGTCAATTCCTCGCAGTATTTTGTATGTCGTTATCATGTCTCCCCTAACCCTCCTGTCCTCCAGTGTCGTCAGGCCGATGTCCCTTAACCTTCCATCGCAGGACATTCCACTTAGCTCTGGAACTAACCTTGCTGCAAACCTTTGACATGCTTGACCAGGTGCAGGTTCCAAACTGGTGCTGCATACATAAGAACATAAGAATGTAGGAACACTGCAGAAGGCCTACTGGCCCATACGAGGCAGGTCCTTATCAAAACGACATCTACCTAAAGCTACTCAAGAAATAACTCCCGTACCCCTTGACACCAATCAAACCCAGCCCCTCCCACTCATATATTTGTCCAGTCTCTTCTTAAAGCTACCCAAGGTCCTAGCCTCTATCACCCCACTGGGAAGACTGTTCCACGCATCTACAACTCTGTTAGAAAACCGGTACTTACCTATGTCCTTTCTAAATCTAAATTTATCCAACTTAAATCCATTATTCCTGGTTCTTACCTGGTTCGACACCCTCAGTACTGTTGTTAGGTAAGACACATATGCAACAGTTAGGTATCTTTATTTCGAAACGTTTCGCCTACACAGTAGGCTTCTTCAGTCGAGTACAGAAAAGTTGATAGAAGCAGAAGATACTTGAAGACGATGTAATCAGTCCATCACCCTTAAAGTTTTGAGGTGGTCAGTCCCTCAGTCTGGAGAAGAGCATTGTTCCATAGAATGAAACAATATGACATACTCCAATATGGGTCTGACGTACACGGTGTACAGAGTCTTGAATGATTCCTTACTGAGGTATCGAAATGCCATTCTCAGGTTTGCCAGGCGCCCATATGCTGCAGCAGTTATCTGGTTGATGTGCGCCTCAGGAGATGTGCTCGGTGTTATACTCGGTATTATCAGATCCTTTTCCTAGAGTGAGGTTTGCAGTCTTTGACCACCTAGCCTATACTCTGTGTCTTCCTTGCCCTTCCCCGATCTTCATGACTTTGCATTTGGCGGGGTTAAATTTGAGGAGCCAGCTGCTGGACCAAGCTTCCAGCTTGTCCAGGTCTCTTTGTAGTCCTGCCTGATCCTCATCCCATTTAATTCTCCTCATTAACTTCACATCATCTGCAAACAGGGACACTTCTGAGCCTATCCCTTCCGTTATGTCATTCACATATACCAAAAATAGCACTGGTCCTTGAACTGACCCCTGTGGAACCCCGCTCGTCACAGGCGCCCATTCTGATACTTCGTCACGTACCATGACTCGCTGTTGCCTCCCTGTCAGGTATTCTCTGATCCATTGCAGCACCCTTCCTGTTATACATGCCAGATCCTCCAGCTTTTGCACTAATCTCTTGTGAGGAACTGTGTAGAAGGCCTTCTTGCAGTCCAAGAAAATGCAATCTACCCACCCCTCTCTCTCGTGTCTTACTTCCGTTATCTTGTCACAAAACTTCAATAGGGTTGTAACATTGGATTTGCCTTCCCTGAAACCGTGCTGGTTGTCGTTCATAAACTTGTTTTGTTCTAGATGCCCCACCACTCTCCTCCTGATAATCTTCTCCATGACTTTGCATACTATACACGTCATTGACATTAGTCTATAGTTTAGTTCCTCGTGTCTGTCTCCTTTCTTAAAATTGGGGACTACATTTGCCCTCTTCCATACCTCAGTTGCCCGGTTTTAATGGATGTGTTGAAAATTGTTGTTAGTGGCACACATAGTGTCTCTGCTCCCTCTCTAAGGACCCACGGAGAGATGTCCGGTCCCACCGCTTTTGAGATATCAAGGTCACTTAGCAGCTTCTTCACCTCCTCCTCGGTTGTGTATTTCATCCAACACATGTTGATGTACCCCTCTGTTCTGACCTCCTGGAGACCTTTCTTTCTCGGCTGTAAATATTTCCTTAAATCTCATGTTGAGCTCCTCACATACTTCTTGGTCGTTGCTTGTGAGCTCCCTACCTTCTTTCCTCAGCCTGATTACCTGGTCCTTGACTGCTGTCTTCCTCCTGATGTGGCTATACAACAGCTATGGGTGAGACTTGACTTTTGATGTTATGTCGTTTTCGTACTGTCGCTGGGTCTCCCTCCTTATCAGTGCATACTCGTTTCTGGCTCGTCGACTAATGTATTTTCCTGGGTCCTTTGTCTTCTATACTTTTTCCATTCTCTAGAACACTTAGTTTTTGCATCCCTAGACCTCTGGGTAAACCAAGGGCTCGTTCTGGTCTTCCCATTATTTCTGTTGCCCTTGGGAACAAACCTCTCCTCTGCCTTCTTGCATTGTGTGTGTGTGTGTGTGTGTGTGTACTCTACGTCCCTAAGCTCCTCCCTATCTCTTCCCTTTCCCCTCTTATCCCTTTCACACTACATCCCACTCTCCCACTCATCACTTTCCTCTCATCCCTCCCTCTCATCCCTTTCCTATCGTCTACCCCCAACACTCTCCCCTCTCCTCTCTCCACTCATCCCTTACCTATCCTCCACGCCCCTCCATACACATTCCCTTCTGTTCCTTCCCACTCCTGCCCTCCCTTCCCCCCTTCCCACTCTCCCCACTCATCCAACACAAGAGGTGCTGTGTAGGACTCTCTCTTGCGGGTCTTAGTAAACGTGACAGAGGGAGGGAGAGAGGAGGGGAGGGGGAGAGGGTGAGGAAGGGGAGGGAATGTTTAGGCGATCCCAACACCCGATTCAAATTTTCCATTTATATTTATGACTTTCTCTCTCTCTCTCACTCTTTTTTTTTTTTTTTTTTTTTTTTTTTTTTTTTTTTTTTTTTTACACAGGGTTTGGCAAGGTTAAGGATCCCTAGCTTTATTGACAAGCTATTTACAGGTTAAGGATTCCTAACTTTATTGGCAAGCTAAGAGCTGTTACCTACATCTGCTCATTTGAAACCATTTTTATTGTTATGAGACATACAAGTAGGGAACAGAATGAAGTTGGAGCCATCTGTGGGTCAGCATTTTAATTTGATCAACTGACTTTATCTCGTTGACATAATTATGCTGTACGAATGTGTTCCATACTCGAGTCATCCTGGGTATATATGATCTCAGATGGAGTGATGTTCTGGAGAAGGGTACAGCCAGAGTGAAGTTGCTGCTTTCTGCCCGTCTTGTGGTATAGAAGCTTGCTTCTCGCTGTCCTCGAAGTGGATCCAAGTGTGGTACTTTGACAATATTGGCCTTGTACATAACAGTAAGGCTACCCACATCCCTCCTATGTTGAAGGCTCTGCTGAAATGACAGATCTATCCAGGATGGGTTCAGGCGAGAGATGAGACGTCTTGCTCTGTTCTCTACTCTGTCAAACAGTAGCAGATGAGAGGGGGGGGGGCAGGCAAACCAAGAAAGTGGAGCATACTCAAGGTGTGAGCGTACTTGTGCCTCGTACAGGATCTTGCAACCCCTACTGTCAAGCAGATGGGAGATAAGGCGAAGTGCTGTAAGCTTCCTGGCTGCCTTGTTTGCAAGATTTACAACATGGTTCTTCATGGTTAGTTTGGAGTCAAATTTCACCCCAAGGATATCAACTTCTTCTCCAGGTGCCAACACCCTCCCATTCATCCTTACTACTGCACCAGCATTACCATCATGGTGCCTAGAGACGATCATCATTTGCGTTTTCTCAGGTGCAAATGTTACTTGCCATCTATTTCCCCAAGCTGATATAGCTCTCAGCTGGTGATTGATGTAGCTTAGAGCAGCTGGCATTTCTTCTCTTGGATAAGTGAATGTCAGTGTACAGTCGTCTGCATATGCACGTGATTCTGGGATGAGATGAAGAAGGTCGTTGAAGTAGACATTCCATAACAATGGACCCAGCACGCTTCCTTGTGGAACACTTGCCCCAATAGGATGTCTTGCTGATTCCGTTCCATTGAGAACTACACTTAGAGATCTACCATGAAGGTAGTCACTGAGGAGACATAGCGTAGAGCCTGCAATTCTCTCTCTCTCTCTCTCTCTCTCTCTCTCTCTCTCTCTCTCTCTCCTTCCATCGTTCTTCAATACAGTTATGGTAATTATCTCTATACTCAAATAATCTGAAGAAAAATTGGTGAGATTTATCAGTATATTCTATTGTTTCGAGCAAGCACGTGCTTGTGCGCTCGTTCGTGCCTACGTGCGTGCGTGTGCATGCATGCAGGAGTGTGTGTGTGTACTCACCTAGTTGTGGTTGCAGGGGTCGATTCACAGCTCCTGGCCCCGCATATGTGCGTGCGCCTATGTGCATACGTGCGTGCATGCATACGTGCGTGCGTGCGTGCGTGGATGCATGCGTGCGTGCGTAGAGGTGCATACGCATGTAGACATGTGAGCCACAATGTATTTATACATATACGTACTACCCTGGTGTATGTGTGTGGGGGTTGATTCTTAGCTCCTGGGCCCTGCCTCTCACCATTCAATGGATTGGCGAGTGTACTGGCCAAGCTGTGACTACGGGGGAAAGCAGCACTCCAGCTCCTGGTCCCGCCTCATCACCGCCAGTGAAGT